AAACTGCTAAATAAAGAAAGTGGGCTCCAGTTGCCCAGCTGATAGCCATTCCGTCATACATTGCATGAACGGCCGTAGGGCCGTAAGGGTGCACATGCCCTAACACAAGCTCAATCCTGGAATTGCCTGCCACTGCAACCCTAAATGCCCGATTCCGCCCGATCTATCTGAAACCGCACGTTAAGTCTGCAGCACGCGCTGGCGCATATTATCGTTGGACATCACACTGACGGAAGGGCCGATCTCCAGATCGTCAGACCTACTGTAATTCAGGGTCAGCGCCCACATCGGGAAGAACGAACCAACGTTGCTCGCCATACAAGGCAGGGTTCTAAAGTGGTGCCGAGAAGCTTCATCGCCCGATCCAGGAAAGCTTTCAATGGACCCTCCGGCCTGGGCCCAACTCGATGCCGTCCATGCTGACTAAATGTAGAGGCTTTGTTATTAAAATAGGGTTTTGGGGCCCATTATATAATATAGTTATAATAAGGAACCCCAAAATAATATACGGCACCGTCATCAAACAGTTCATTCGCGTTTGAGACGCTGCTTTGACTCAATGTTCAGTTATCAAAGGCAGAGGCCGCGCTGTATTGGCCATCATGTGTGCAAAGCCGTACCTGCGGATCTGAAACCGAACCATGAGGAAATCACTTGAAAACCAGCTCTCCATTACTGTAGGCACAGATGCACAAGATCGAATCTGTCCGAACAAAATCAAAGGAGGTACAGAACCTGCTAGCTACAAGCTACGTCTGCCTTCCATGCTCCAGCAAACATGGCAAACGTTGCAACATTGTTTAGGCACTTCCCTTTTTCGCCCGTTTGGTCATTGCCTGGGATCTTCTCACCTTGCTACCCGATACTTGCACCCCTCAGTCTGAGTTGAACACTTCGGGTCTCGAAGCTTAGTCCACACGCTGATCCGACACGCAATGCCTGAAACAAGTTGAAGCCTGTTGCCCCGAAAAGCCGGGCCGACAACCCATAGAATCCCCAAAGCTGAAGGCCAGGCTCGCGAAGGGCCCCTGCTCCAAGATGGAAAACATGCGCCACTAAGTTGCGGTTCCGCGCAAAACACTGATCCTTTTCTCCACGGTGCACACACCCTCACGGCTGCCAACCAGCCTCTCCTGCACAGATGCTGGCGATGCATTGCTGCAGAACACTCCATTCCAGGACACACACATACACACACATCTACGTATGTATGTATAAGTATCTACATGTACACATGTGCACGGCTATATCTTATGGCAATGTCGTGTTAGAGCTTGAACCTTACAATGCAATATAGCAGAACAGAACATTTTATTGCATTACATTTCCACACTGGTTCGCATTACATCACAAATTACGTTGCGCCACGTCGCATTGTGTTACGAGACATGACACTACATTGGGCTCGACATTACACCACGCTGGGTTACATTGCTTTACGTCTCTGTTCCGGCACATTGACATGTGGTCCGGCTAGACTAGATTCGGATATATGAGTTACGTGTACTGTATGTACATAATGCGTGTAACTGATGTAAAACAACCTGGATGTATACGAAAATACGGTACTAGTGACTATGTGATGGCCTGTACATGAAGGCTTTGCAAACGTGCACGGGGGCGTGTGGTCGTGTAACGCCGCAGCTTGGATGAAGTCAAAAACAATCGACACTCCTCTTGAAAGAAAACTGCTGGCGAAAATCCTCCTGCTGGTTTCAAGACATCGACCCGTTTCTCACAGCTCTGCAGTCAAAGAACCACTGCCAGGATAAAAGCAGCTCTGAACACGGACATCGAAATTCTACAGTCCTTGCACATGACGTCCATGGTAGCTGTTGCCATCTCGCCTCGGAGGGATGGGCTTCGAATGGAAAGTCTTGTCATGGCGGGCCTGGGTGCTATATAGATTCTGCCATACAGGCGAGGCCACTGTGCGAGGTCAGGTGCTTGCTGCTTGGGGTCGCCTGAGCACAAGATTCTGTACATCTGTGGTGTGTCGAGGTTGCTTGATCTTTGATCACGAGCATAGAACGAGAGCTACAGCGAGAGTAAGAGAGGGAGAGAGAGAGAGAGAGAGAGAGAGAGAGCGAGAGCGAGACAGACAGAGAGAGATAAAGAGAGAGAGAGAGAGAGCGAGAGAGAGAGAGAGAGAGACAAAGAGCGAGAGAGAGAGAGAGAGAGAGACAGAGAGAGAGAGAGAGAGACTGTGTGTGTGTGTGTGTTTTGTCGTTTTCGTGGGGTGGGCCATCACCCCGAAGCCAATTATGCGCAGG